GAAAAATTTATGAAAGAATACGGCAATGACTACTTGAACCAATAGACTAAGCCTTATAGTCTTGATCGATTCACTTATAATCATGCCTAGGAAGGATCCACTAGTGCCATGCTAAACAGCTATGGACTAGCATATTTGCCACTCATAGCAAACCCAGGGAGGTTTGCTTTCACCCATAGTACAAGGAACAACTCATGGAACCACTGATATGCTAACATTAATCCTGCCAACTCAAAGTGCAACTTTGAGTTGCTAATGCGCCTCACTCACGAGCCCAAGTGCAAACTCGTGCTACTGGAACAACTCAATCCTCCTTATGAGCCCAAGAGCAAGCTCATATAATACGGTACCAAATGGTAACCAAATCCATACCCAAGGAACGATTGCGAAGCCTTTGCACCCAAATGTGTACCCACTCGGATCATTGTTTTCATCTCTGCGTATGCAACGAGACTAATTGCCCAATCTCATTGAATAGTACTCGCTGAGACTCATCCTCTGATACCAAATGTAGTGCATGTGGTTTTTACCTTTTATCCTATGGTGATTTACCATAGGATAACATCATGAAGCGGAACCTAAACCCTCTTTGTGCTACGTGGAACTTGAGGATCAGGGCTTTGGGCCATTGAACGAAGGAACGGTGCCAAACTCCCAAGCGTGGAGCCAAAGAGTGATGGAACTGAACCATGGAGCAACTCCTGAGCATTCAGCCTAAGGAGCGAAGGGACAGGGGCACGGAGCGACTTGAAATAGTCCTAGAGTATCCAGCATCCCAATGCTAGGACCAACATGCAAAACGGAGCCAAACGGAGTTTGGCACTATTTCAACATACCGGTGGCCTAACGTGAGGACATGGGTACTCCACCAACTAGAATGGTGTAGAGCTTGGGTTTAAACCCAAGCCGAACACAGAACAAGGATAACATTTGGGACCGAAATGAGACTAACACAAAGGGCATGATAGTGAGGGTGTTTAGCAGACACGGTAAGTTATCATCCAGTGATATTGAGGGACCAATCTCAATACGTGATGGTTTTTGTCACTAGCCAGTGCAAGACATAACGAGACAGGAACTCTTTACCAAGCTAAATATGCTTTGCTAATAACACGTAGGAATTCCATTGTTATGCTCGTCCGGTCTAAGTACACTCGAAATGCCCAGTTAACTCCACTAGCACAAGAGAGACTAATAAAGGGTCTAGCAATACTGATCTCCTACCATTGTGGCAGTAAGGTAAAAGTGTCCATAAGGACTGGTCGACAGGTAACTTTCGATACTTGACAGGAATGAAGCTCAACAATCTCTTGTGTGTTCTTGAGCGATCTGGACAAGAGTATATACATACCACTTTAAATCACAAAAGCAATGCTTTTGATGCTTGCTTTGCGAGGTATTGTTTGAAGGCTTGTCTTGGTTTGAGCCAGACCGGATCATCCAGCCAAGCGCAGCAGACAAGCGCTGCTCGGGTGAGGAACTTCCTTGTTGGAATGCGAGCGAAAGTGTGGAGCAGCATTTCGTTATCCAGGTCGCCCAATGGTTGCAGCGTCACCTCTGCTATCGCTGTCCTTGCGCCATTTGCTATTTTGATGAAGCTTACATGTAGTTAACGAATGGTTCCATCGCATTGTTCTTGACGACGAGGAGGAGACGCTGCTCTGATCGTCATAGATTCCTCGCGAATTTCGTCATGGAAATGTATGGAAAGTGCGGGCGCGCCGCAGATGCCTGGGGTGTCCTCCACAAAATGGAAGATGGAAATGTTTTCTTCTGGAACGCATTTGCCCACAGTAGGCAAATGCCAGAAGTTCTGGTGCTCTTTCGGCAAATGCTCGTCGATCGAATTCTTGCAGCTATCAATGGCGATGTGGCGGAGATCCAGGTGAGAAACACCAGGAACCTCGACTTAAGTTGGCAGAAGGCCCGCTCCAGGCCTGGTTGAAAGACTACTGCTGGAGGGTAAATCAACCACGGCCTTTGGAGGAGGCGATACCCCTGCTGTCTGATCTCCTCACAATCCTGGAGCTGAGACAATAACACCGTCACCATCTTTGGCTTGTCGTTGTAGTAATTGGAGCTTGGGGCGGCGATTGGGATGTGGCGCCGATCAGGCTGGGATGCCAGTCTCGAGCTCACACGGCAATTTCCACCCGATGCAAGTGTCTGTCCAGTTCTTGGCAGAAGAAGACGGAGCATCGTGACGCGGCGATGATTAGTTGGACCTGTCCTCTGGGCTGGAGATCATGACTCACAGCCATTCGAAGGTTGCCAAAACTCTTGGGCATCGGTAAACCGATGTCCAGGGTCGTGTCCTGTCTCTGCTCCGCTCAATAGCTCGCGTTCCAGCTTGCAGAGTGTGCCGCTCAGCGTTCGTGTTCTTCCTTGGCAGTCTGCAGCACTCTGTGCGATCGTAACAAGGCTGCATTGCAAGTCACGCGAGGCGCAAGTTCCTCCTCCAAATCTATTATCGTTCCAAGCGAGAGACACATTCCAGGATCCTTTGTTTCTGGGCTAGATCGACCACTGTCTTTTTTGTCTCTCGAGCCTGCGGGAGGGAGAAACAAGGAAATTCCAATATCGCGGAGAAACTCCAACATCGCCTACACTTGAAAAAAGTGTTTTTAGGTGGTTCTCTGGCTGTGGATTCGAACCTGTCACCATGCCAATAAATTTCTTTATTATAGCCAGATAACCGTCCAAATTAAACATTAATAGCCTGTTAAAGTGTTTCGCTTGTTTTTGATTTTGAGTGAATGGCACGCGTGCTGATTCCTTGTTCCGTATCAATCACGTGGGCAAGGTCGCGCGAACGTTTCCAAGCCTCTCTTCTTGGTTCCAGGATTTTTTTTGGAGCAAAATTTGTTTCTCGGAACAAGAAAAGTTTCTGGAAAATGAGCAAGTTTGATTTGATCCAAGCACCCTCTTGAAGAGCAGAGTTGAGAGGCATCTGGAAATGTCAAGAGTGCTGGAGGTTGGGGTATTTGTTTGTTTCTCTCTTCTTTGCAAGATCAAATCCTCTGGCCATGTTCAAAACCATGAAATTAAATACTCACTCCCAAAAACACCAGTGAGTGAGTATCCCTGATTTGGTGCAACTGATTAGACTCAGAACCTGAGGGTTGATGCATCAGTGATTCCTTTGTTATTCACTGTAGCCTGTGAGAGCCTTGATCGAGCGTCAGGTGAGAGCAAAGAAGAAGCATGACAAACAGTGGAATGATACAACACAATGATCTGCAAGGACCCACGTCAAGCCACTGAGAGTGTGGTAAGGAAGAAAGAGAAGCTTTTAAGCGTAACTCCACTAGCCTAGTGCTTACCAGAACACAATGCACTTGACACATGGCTCGGTGAGAATCGAGGTCCAAAGGTGGCGAAGATGAGGAATGGTGGAGCCAGTAGCTCTGGACAATCTCTTGAGAGATCTGGACAAGAGTATAAGCAAAAGAGCGTGTCAAGAACCATACATACTGTCTTTTACAAAAGCAATGCTTGTCGTGGTCTGATGTGCGCTAGTTTGAAGGCGTGTCTTTTGGTTTGAGCCAAACCGGATCATCCAACCACACCGAGAAAAGTCGTCGAAACTAGAGAGAAGAAAGGCGGCGCTCTCGGTCTTTCTTACATGAGATTCTCACAAGCGCGGCAGTCAAACGCTGCTCGAAAGTGTGGAGCAGCGTAGCGTTATCCAGGTCGTCAGTAGTCCTTGGCCATTTGCTGTTTTGACGAAGCATGTAGGAGGAGCTCGTGGTGGATTCACGAATTCTTTTCGGAGTATTCACATAAATTTTTCGTGAATTACATCGTGGATGCTTGCAACTCGCTGGACATGCTCTCGCGATGGAGGGGAATATCGCTAGAGAGGGCATGGTGCTCACGGCGCTGCTCGGCATATTTATGCTCGCTGCCGTATTTCGACGGGATGTCTCTCGCTCCCTCAGAGCGAGGAAGCGCTGCAAATCTTGCGCGAGAAAAAGTCAATGTGGGCCAATGGCAGTCCAAGGGATGGCGCGATCGCTAGCGCTGGACGCCTTCGCGGCTGCTCTGCGAGAATGCCGCAAGCACGGATCTCTGGGCGAGGGCAAGCGCATCCACGCACAGATGGCCTCCAGCGGCGTCTATCGTGAAGAATCTTGTCATGTCATGGAAGATGCCTTGGAAGATGGAATTTGTTTTCTTGTGGAACATTGTTATCGCGGCATTTGCCCAGAACTGGCAAATGCGATGGCGCTCTTTGGGGAAATGCTTGTCGATCTACATTCTTGCAGCTATCAATGCCGATGCGGCGTAGATCCATACTCAACAAGTGATGGGGGAGCGAGGTAATCGGATCGCGATAGCCGGCTTCACCGGTGAGCGAATGGATAAGATCACAGCGGGCAGCCGAGGTCAGACCTCGGGTGCCCAGCTCCACAAAACATCTTTAACCTGAATCGCGACGCGAGGATCAGTGAGAGGGACATGAAGAGGAGAGATCGGAACACGTTCCTCTCTATCAGACCAAGTGGTCGACCACTTCCAGAGAATCCCAGCGGGATCGCTTGACGTTCTTGAGTGTTGTGCATGTGGAGCAGGACAGGATGATCCATGCTGGAGAGGAAGATCGCTGGAGATGCTCCAGATGGTGCTGCTCAACATGTATGCTCGCTGCCGATTGTTTTCGACGTGAGGAACGGCTCCTTGCTTTCGCTGGAAGCTTTCCCATCGAGCGGGAACAGCGTATGCCCGGAAAAGGCATTGCGTGGAGGCTCTATCGATCAAGCCCAATGCTATTAACTTCTTCAGTGTTCTCGATAGCTGGAAAGGCGAACGGGGATAAATAATGCACGACCAACCCGATGGCGAGCTTGGGTCTTCTACCGACTCTCTCTGTGGGATCAACGAGGGCAGTGACTTGGATGGAGCAGCACAGGTTTTTAAGGAGATGCCCTGGCTTGGACGTTTCTAATTTGTATATGGGAACTTGGTGCTTACAAGTGCGTTTTGATAGCGTGCCTGACAAAATCTTGTCTCCTGGAACGTTCTAATCAGTTCTTATGCAGAGATGGAGATGCCTTGGAAGTCCACCACAAGATGGAACGGGAGGCACTGAAACCGGATGATTCATTTCGTTTTCTCTGAAGGTAAGGCAACTCATGCTCTCATTGCAGCATCGGGATTTGATTCCAGCTGCTGGCTGCTGCAGGAGCAAAAGCTGTTTTTGATACAGTTACTTCCAAGGACGTTGTTTTATAGACTGATTTGCTCATGGCTTACTCTCAAAACGGGGATCCAAAATAGGCGCTTCTTGTTACTCCAAATACCGTGGATAGCGTCGAAAGCAAGGACATCGTAACTTGGAACGTTATAGAAATGGCCATGGACGAGAAACAGTCGGCTTTACCAAAAGTAAAGCCGACTGTAGTAGACATCCTGGAGGAGGCACTCATATGGATTCGTGGAGGCTGTTATTTAAGTTGATCGGGCTTTTTCCTTAGGTAACGAGTATCTGATGGCAGTGCTCTTGTTCTCCGGTAACGCAAGGCTAGAATTATGGAGCAAAGTGCACATAGGCTATGGTAGAGCTCGGCAAAAGAGGGCGCCATGGAATGTAAGAGCAGGCTGTGGCGTTAGAGCGTCGTTAGACGCACTCGTCTTCGACTGTGACGGGGTAATTCTCGAGTCGGAAGATTTGCACAGGCGAGCCTACAATGCGACGTTCGAGAATTTTGAGGTCCGGTGTCCAGGGAATAAGTCCCCAGTTGTGTGGAGCACAGAATTCTACGACGAGCTGCAGAACCAAATTGGAGGAGGAAAGCCAAAGATGAGATGGTTTTAGTGGTTTTAAGTCTTCTTTTTTTTCTTTTGTGTTCTAACTTTGTGGTCTCATGGCAGGTACTTCAATAGGAACGGCTGGCCTTCCTCGAGCTTGTATAGCTCGCTCAAAGATGACGATGAGAAGGTTCAGCTCATCGACACACTTCAGGTGATTTTAATAGAATGCCGTGACTTCTTACATGGTTTGTGTGTAACTTTCAGGATTGGAAGACAAATAAATACAAAGATATCATTGCGTCTGGAGCGGTAAAAATTGGCCTTAGTGTTTTGAAGTAACTTCCATTCATGCAGGTTGAGCCACGACCAGGAGTTCTTCGCCTAATGGATGAAGCTCGTGATATGGTTTTTTCTCAAAGCTTCTTTCCTTTCAGGTTTTCTAATCTGCCACTGTGTCCAGGGAATTAAGGTGGCTGTTTGCTCAGCTGCAACAAAGAGCTCTGTAGTATTTTGTCTCACGAATTTGCTTGGCAAGGTAAATCTACTGAACGAACAGACTCGATCGGCACGAGGTTTTGATTTACCATCCTTCCACTGAGTTCAGGAAAGGTTTCAGCAATTAGATTGCTTTCTAGCAGGTCGAGTTTTTTCACACAAGAAGAATTATTCTCACTGTTTCACAACAATGCAGGCGATGATGTCGAAGAAAAGAAGCCCAATCCAATGATCTACAAAGTCGCAGTAGAGGTAAACGTGGTTTTGTGCAGTTTCATTCACTTCCTTTGTTCTTCAGAAACTTGGAGCAACCCCGGACAAGTGTATCGTGATAGAAGACAGCGTCATTGGTCTCAAAGTATATACGTGCTCTTAAATCTCATGGACTTGCTACTATTTTTCCTTGTGTATTCAGGCAGCAGTGGGTGCTGGTATGAAATGCGTAGTGACTTTCACAAGTTCTACAAGCAAGCAGGTTTGTAATTTCCGTATGTTTCCATGGTTGATTTATTTGGTATGAAAGCACAGGATTTTAGCGAAGCTGCAGCTGTATTCTCCAGCTTGGAAACCGTGAGGTGGGTCTTCAGATTGCAAAAGGATCCAGCACTCTTTCTATTTTCTTTTGTTTAGTTTGGATCACCTCGTGAAGTTACTGGACGAACGTGTGATTGCTACTGGTTAAATTCGTCTATGAGCTTAAGGGAGAGTTCTTTCGCCAACATAAATCGACATGGGTTCCAGCTGGTATACCGTTAGAATAGAAGTTTCATGCAATGCAAACTTTGTGTCAGTGAAACACGACTGTTTTGCCGATATACGAGACTCAAGATGTGTTCAGCTGCTCCAGCTTGGAAAGTGTAAACGCTTGAAGCCCACAGATCACAGGTATGTAGTGCTTGTGGATAAATTTGTTTTATATATAGCCATTTCTTTTGTTTTTATGGTTATTGAGGTTATAAATAGAAAATGAATCCTTACATTTTAACTTAAAAGTTTTATAGTTTTAGAGTGTCAAGACTGTGCATCAAAATTTTTTATTGATTTATTTCTGTCAATGGTGCATTCTTTCAATTTTTTCTTTGTATATAATGCCAAAGGTTTTTAACCCTAATGAACACTTTCTAATAAAATATTAATAAATATTTTTTTTTTACATTTTCACAAGAAAAAGTAAATTTTGATTATAGAAATCATCATGTTTAAGCTCAAGAGAAAAAGAACTCAATTAAGCTCATGATAGGAAAAAAAAAAGTAAATCTCTCACAAGAAGAAATAACTTTTTCTAGGGAGATAAAATGAAATAAATGATTCAAATTTTATCGTCTCTTCTAAGTTTAACAGTGCTGGTTTTATTCAGGAGAAAAAACCAATTTGAAAAAGAATACCAAAGCCTTTTTTTATAGTTTATACATTTCTTTTTTATTATTTTTTATGTTTCTTTCTTGTTTTATGTTTATTGGAGGAATTTAGCTTATATAGTTTCTCTACTATACTTTTGGAACTACATTCTTGATGATTTTGTTCTAGGTGGAGGGGAAAGCATTAAAGTACAAAAGTAAAGGTCACTCTAGCTTGAAAGCTTAATATTATAGATACTTCTCTTAATATTTAAGAAATTAATATTGTTAAAAAGTATTTAAATTTTAGTAATTATAAATATCCACTATTTAAAAAATGATTGTTAGCTCTTTGTATATATATTCAAATATGATATTATTATTAAATAATCATTTAAAAGCATCATTTTCTTTTATTCCTCATTTTTCACGGTATTGATAGTGTCAACACACAATATACTACTTGGATTTGACATTCTTTTTATATTTCTTTAGTAACATTCTAAACCTTATTTTCTACTGCTAGTAAAAAGAATAAACATAGATTTATAAGTTAATCTTATATTGCCTTCTTCCCAAAAATCTCACACGATATGAAAGGCAAAAATGTGTAAGCAACCAAAGGGAACGACTCGAGAGACGATCCATGGGGTTCAAATATAGAGGGAAAGGGCTCATGAACAAGAGTGCACCCCCTTTTCCAATCGGTTAAGGGTCTTGGGATATTTGGGGTTAAGCGTCCTTAGGTTTGAATAGTACTGGGCTGGGTGACCTCCCGGGAAGTCTAAACTCAGGAGCTTACATTTGGTATCAGAGCGGTCTCGGGTTCAACTCTGTTGGTTGGCTAAGGGAATCACACCACATGTTGATTGACATCTGGCTGGTCTAGTTTACTCCCGCTAGGCTCGACCCGAGGGGTAGGGTGTCAAGAGAGCGGGGCTCTCGGGAGAGCTGCGGCTCTCAGCTTCTGTTCACGAGGGCGTGAACTTGCATGGAAGCGTGGTGGATTGTAAGCAACCAAAGGGAACGACTCAAGAGACGATTCATGGGGTTCAAATATAGAGGGAAAGGGCCCATGAACAAGAGTGCATCCCCTTTTCCAATCGGTTAAGGGTCTTGGGATATTTGGGGTTAAGCGTCCTTAGGTTTGAATAGTACTAAGCTGGGTGACCTCCCGAGAAGTCCAAACTCAAGAGCTTACACCCCACCCATAGACGAAGTTCGATGTCCTCATCGAACGGTAAACCCTTTTATAAAGTAACACCCACAGGTATTACCATTCCATCCTTGGCACCCGGCCAATATTTGTCTATGGTTTGACCTCGAAGGCTCACCATGCCTTGTCCATCCTCTAAGGAGGATAGTCTCTCCAACTTAGAAACTGATTGGACCACTTGGGGTGGTTCTTTCCGTTTATTGGTTTAGTTCTCGCTAAACCCGTTAAAGGCACCCTCTCTAACTCAATTCCACTACTCATTCTTGAGTAGTCACAGATTCCACTGATCTACCTTTGCACTTTGGAACGTTTACTTTTGACTTCTTGAAGTCAATTTTCTAGGTGTCTCCGACACCTTGCCTTGCACATTTTGTGCAACTCCACTTCCCCTCCTAGGAAGTTCTCTACTCGAGGGCACCCTCATCCTCTTTTCTATTTTTGTGCCACCATTTGTATTACGTTCCATTTATCATTATTTGTGCTAGGGTTGTCCACGGCCCTATCTTTTGGCTACTTAGTTGCTCCCTCACTTGGAGCCTTTCCTTTGCCAAATTGGAGCACTTGGGAATCCATCCTTGGAAGTCCACTTCTTTTTCCGCAATTTGTTAGCATCAAACACATTAGTGTTCCTTGGCTAACTTTGCCACTTGGATTCTTTCCAATGGATTCCACGGCCCTATCTTGGGCACTCGTCTTTTGCTCCTATCCTTGGATTGTTGCACCAAGCAACATAGGATTGCTACCTCCATTTTTGAGGTTTCCTTTCGGTTCCATAGCAAACACTTTGCTTTGCCAAGTCCAAAGGGTGTTCACCCTTAGTACGTCTCTTTAACATTTTCTGTCGTGGGCTCTATCCATGGCCCAACTTTTTGAGACCCTCCTTTGGATCTTTCATAAAGACTACTTTCGTTGGACTTACTATGCCATAGCATTGACATAGCTCATTTCCCTTAGGTGTGCTTCCCACTTGGTCACCTCAACCAAGCCACACTTTTATCAATGGTTCAAATCAACACTTTGAACTAGGAATCATATTCCTTAACCCAAACAAAGACTTTGTCCTTGTTTAGCCACAAGATCACCTAGTGATGTTATCTTGACCCCTTAATAGGTCTATCAATAGGGACTAGGTCTTCCAGACCCTTCTAAGTTGTTGACTATGACCCCAGGGGCATCCCCCACACTTGGCAGTGCGCCCAAGCCAGCCCTTCCGGCCAAGAATCCATAGCAACTGAGACTTGGGTGTCCCCATCTCATTCACCACGTCCTTGGTGCCCTTTGCACCAAAGTGTTCAAGTTAGATATGTCGAGCTTTCACTCTAAGCAATCTAACCGTGCATCACGACTCCGAAGCATCCCTCGCTTGGCGGTGTGCCCAAACCAGTCCTTTCACTGAGAGTCCATGACCACCAAAATATGAGTGTCCTCATATTCCAAACCATCACCACGCCCTAGTGATTTGGGACTCGAACCCAAGCACTAGAGGGTCGGGACTTGAACCCAACCTCCGTATATGCATCTACGGACGGCATCACCCAGGATGCCTGGCGTGACTCCCCATGCCGGTGCACCAACTTATACTCAAAGCGCGCTATAGATCACAGCTTAGGAACCTAGTTCCTCCACATTGCCAAGTCCTCTCACTTGACAAGTCTGTGATCATGCTTGGCCCCATGGCCCACCCTTTTTGAAGTTATCACCTTCAACTAGGGTATTTGTTCCCCTGACTTGCCAATCTCGCTTTGGCAAGTCCTCCGACCACTGTAACATGGTTTCTGTACAAGCATGAAAGCCCTTGATCATCGACTTTCATTCAAAGCCCTCTCTTTGAACACTCGGGAACTACTTCCCTAACCTTGATAACCTTGCCTCATGGCAAGCTTCAAGACCACGCTTCTGTTGCGCCACTCTGATTTCGCGCGTGCTTTGAACCATTTACACTTGGCCTTTCTAGGTACTAAACTACCTAGAATCATCTTTGGGAACCTTGAAGGAACCCTGTCCCTTAGCTTGCTAAGGCCTCCCTTTTTGCAAGCTTTCCAATTACCATATAGTCTAACATGGACAATTCCATATTTTAGACTCTCCATGGCATCACGGTTGCTAGCGGCAACACCCTCGAGCCCCCACTTGATTCTCCACTCCCAGCTGGCATAACCAACCTTGGTTATGCCCTTCGATTCCTATGGTTCGGTTCTACCCCCTTACTTCTTGCTTTTGGCTTCACACCTTTCCTTTAGACTAGGAGGACAGCTTTGCACTTTCTATCATGTCTTAGCAAGTATTCTTAGGGATGAACCTACCCGATAGCCTAGGGAGTGGTTCCTCAATCCAGGTATGCTCACCCTATAATCCCACACACCGAGATTACGTTGTTGCTTATGGGCCTTTACATGCCCATCGCTAGCCTTGCCAAAATTCCATTTTTGGCTTTGTCCATTTCAAGTAGACAGTCTTCTCCTGTCTCCGCCACCTTGGACATTTGGATAGCACCTTCTATCCATCATTCGCTAGGGACTTAGTCCCTTGGGCCTTATTTATTACCCTCGCAACATCAAACACCACCTCCTGGTGTTCTAGAGCGTTCCGGTGTCCCAATGACGGCTTCCTTGACAATGAGTATTTCCTTTCATGACATTGATTTACCATATTGCAACATAAGCAACTTATCCCCCGTAAGGGTATATCCAACTTCCTTATGCCATTAAGAAGGCTTGGGTAGCTACCTTCTACCCGTTTAACCAATTATTTTGCACCTCTTGCTTAGTTGCCTCATAGTTGTCAAGTCCTACAACTCATTGCTGGTGCTTCCACACCTCCATCATTATCTGGGTCACCACACTCCAACTGCATGCTCTGCAACTTAGGCTATGCCATTCTCATTTCCATTGGGGTTCCTTTGGCAAGGGGTTCTCATGAACCCACCAACATAGCCTCAAGGTACCACACCTTGGCACATTTGGGTGTCTCCACACCATCGGCTCCACGAGCCTACCTCTATGACACTTCTTCTTTGTGTCTAAGTCTTTGCCAAGACCAATACCACTCTTTCTCATGCCAACCAACCGTTAGCACTGCACTATAGAGGTCACACACAACTTTGTTTCAAAGTTGTTTTCTTTTTGGGAACACCCTTCCCACGACTTTAGCATGGCACATTTTGCCATCGATGAGATACCCTCTGTTCTCATCCTTGGATCCTATGATCCCCCCCATCCTTCGTGGGGTACTACTCAGTCCAAATGCTTCCATCAATCCTTTAGGATTATTCCTTGACTCTATTGGAGTCATCCAGCTTTTTGGACTTTGTCATCCTACGACCCATGAGGTCCTACCTTTGAGGTGCCAGCTCACTGGAATACAACTTCTTGTATTCAGGTCTTACTCACGAGGACCATCTTTGCAAGTGTTACTCCGACACTTGATTTGTTCTCTTGGGGCAACCTTTTGCCTTTTAGGACCACTTGTCCATGTGATGAGAATACCAACTCATCCTCTAAATACATCCCCAACTCCTTGGGTTGTTCCAGCATTTATCAAGGGCAACCTCAGCTACCATTTCGAGGACTTGTGTCCTCTCCTATATTTGACCTCCCATGGTCATCAATTCCGGTCTCAAAGTTATGAGCACTGGCCTCAACTATATGAAGGTAATCTTGTGACTCCTTTATTATTTTGGAGTCTACATCTTTTCTGTGACCCCAATTATAGTTGTTTACCACAACTACGTTAGCCCGTTTGCTGCGTCAAACGCTCATCTGGATCACATCCTCAGCTCTCAGAGGAAACCTTATACTGTTCCCAAGATCCCAAAGTCGTTCTATTATTGGCCCTTTTATATCCACCACATCATGCCCAAGTTCACGCATGAACTTGAGTGGAGAGCCATGTCCTCTCGACATGCTACTCCTCAAGGATAGGCCCCCTCCTAGGACCTTCCAATGCCAACATCAATGGTGATATACTTGAGCACCAATAAAATTCGGACTAAGGAACAACTCCGATACCAAGTTGTAAGCGACTAAATTTTCCATTCTACTTTAGTCACTTAACCACACCTCCGACCACTTGGAGGAGTCTCATTCACAACCTCCATCAGTCCAATTCAGGACTTGGGACTTGCTAGCCCCAAGAATGGCATCCATGCCACTCAACACTTGCACCTGGTCCAAGTGCTCCTCGTGTCCGGTCCCAAGACCGACACCCAAAGGTACCACTGACATCTCGGCCCGTTACGCTAAGGCCATGCCCATTCACCTTTGCTGCACTAGTGGTTCAATACCACTTGCATCACAATCCCGTCTCTCCAAGACTGGGCCATCTGTCCACGAGTGGTCATCCTAGATCCACTCCTTAGCATCCTTAGGATGCCCACAGACCTGGGGAATTGCCTTCCCCAAAGTCCCTTTGTCAGTTCCTACCAAGTCCCTTCCTGCCCCTGGCCGTGTTTGCTAACACTGCCACTGGATCGAGGCCCACAGGCCCGACCACTAAGTCCCATGGTCCTCTGGGACTTCCTCACCACACGACTGTGTCCTTGGTCACTACCCCAGAGGACTTCTCCTCTTCCTTTCCATAGTCTAGGCCTTTGGGACAACATTTCAGAACACCGTGGCCTTACGCGAGCCACCTGGGTACTCTCCCCACCTTTCGCCTTTAGGTGCTCTAGCCATGGGCTTAGAGCGAGGTTCTGTTGAGCCACGCCTGGTATCCAAGTAGGTAGTGCCACCCACACTTGGACTGGGAGCATCGGCCAGTCGATCTCCCGGGGGAACTAGAGCCGGCTCTTGAACACTTCACCAAGCTACCCCGCTTGTCAGTCCATGTTCACTCTAGTCTTGGACTTCCCAGTGGTCAGCTCATCACCCAACACTGGGTCTGGCCTTCCTGGGCCAAACTGGCCTTTCCTGGCCAAACTGGCTCCACTGCAGTCCTCCCCCTCACTATACTTTTGGAGCTCACCAAACCCCTCAGGGTCTGGGAGACGAACGCTTTGGGCTTTCACCCTCTCAGGCTCGAACTTGGACTCGGACTTGGACTCGGACTCAGACTCGGACTCGGACTCGGATTCGGACTCGGGCTCGATCTCAGCCTCCGCCTCGGTCTCAGTCTCAGCCTCCGCCTTGGTCTCGGTCTCGGCCCCGGTCTCAGTCTCAGTCTTGGTCCCGGTCTCGGTCTCGGTCCCGGTCTCGGTCTCGACCTCAGACTCCATCTCGGGTCCTTCTCGGACTCCATCTCGGATTCCATCTCGGGTCCATCTCGGACTCCATCTCGGTCCATCTCGGACTCCACTTCGAACTCCATCTCGGACTCCACCTCGGACTCCATCTCGGACTCCGTTTTGGTCCATCTCAGACTCCATCTCGGTCCATCTCGGACTCCACTTCGGGTCCATCTCGGACTCCATATCGGACTCCATCTCGGACTCCACTTCGGACTCCATCTCGGACTCCACCTTGGACTCCACCTCGGACTCCATCTCAGACTCCGTTTTGGTCCATCTCGGACTCCATATCGGACTCCATCTCGGACTCCACTTCGGGTCCATCTCGGACACTTCCACGTGTCATGTGTTGGTCTTTTTTGGGTCCCTTTTTGGAGCCTCGCTTATTGCTCGCTTCATGTTTGTTCCTCGAACACTTTGTTGGGAGTTCCACTCCCGCTCTCAACCTTCCAAGTCGGAGCTTTTAGTCGAAACGTGTTACGCTCGTTTGGCTTTCGCTTCGGCCACTACCACATGGCACCCTTCCGGCTCCACTTTGGGGCCTAGGGATTTTGTGTCTCACAAAATGCTGTTTAGGACAAACTTAAAAGTTCTTATTCTACTCGTTATTAATCGACAATTCAGTAGAGTAAATTAAGACCAATTAACAATTTTGCCCATAAACCCTAACCCCTCGTAAATATGATTATATATATGTTTCAAATATGCATGCCCATATGGCTAAAATCAGTAAAGAGTAAAACCAAGTCTCAATGCCCATGATAACACATTTTCCTATCACTAATTTTTGTGCTAAAGTGCTCATAAATTAGCAAGGTGGAGTTGTGGTTGTTGCGACACTCTTTATTAAATGACTTTCTACATAAGGTCAGATTTTCTAATTTCAAAAATAATGATAGAACTGATACTTATACTACTAAAATTTAACCTAAAAGGATGAATTTTTTAATCATTTCTTAATAAATATTATTTTTCAATTTTAAGTATGATTTATGAAATTTTTCATAAAAAAGAAACTATTATTTTCTTCTAAACACTTTAAATTAAAAAATGATAAAATTCTTTTATATCTCCTTTCTATATTTTTCAATTATTAAATAATTAATGTATTTACTTCCATTCTACAAATAGTGACTTTAGTATTTATCTTTAATTTTATTTTTATTACCTTAAAATTTTTAATCATAATCATAATCTTAATTATTTTAATAATAATTTTAATATTAAATATTTTAATAATAATCATAATCTACCATGTTTGAGTGTGATTTATCAAAAATTATAATTAAGTTTCTTTAACTCAAAATATATCCATGATTTTAAAACTGAAATAATTATTTTTGTTAAAAGTGTTGAATAATCCTAATTTTTATTTTTTTCAAAAATTATTTAATTATTTAAACCAATTATTATTATATTTTTTATTCTTTTAGTTTTACACTGTGCCTGAATATATATTTAACATATAAATGTAAATATAAAGTTTTTTATATTAAAGTATTGTGACTTATTATTTTCTTGATAAGCTTTTACTATAAATGTTTTAGCTTTCTTAGATTGTCTTTATCATTTACAATAATATATAATATTCAATAAAATATTTAAACAAGTTGATTAAGTTCTGGGAAAGGTTTTTATAACACATTACTAATAGAAATGTACATCAAGAATTAATTATCTGGCATACAAAAGCTAAAATGTTTTTGCCACTTAAGCTTTTCAGGTTTATTAATACTTAAATTTATTTTGTTTTTTTGTTAATTCTCATATATAACTTTAGTAAAATATATGCATAGTGTTATCTGTTATTAATAATGAGATGAAAGATCAAAAACATGAAAAACAAATACAAAACCAATAATTTTTATGTTTAAAAGTGAAAAAAAACTTAGTAATTGCAATGAAGGATGTTTAAATATATAATTTTGTCATGGTAACATGCAACAAAGAGAGAACTATGGAGTGAAATTTGGAAGCCTGTCCAATCAATTCGCAATATCAACCAAAACAAAAAAAACCTTTACTGACCCTTAAAGGTCAACCTTTAATATTTTCCTAGGTTTAGGGTTAGGGGGAGCGATGGTGAGGAAGGAGCTCATCGGGCGATCCAAGGGAATGGTGACCGAGGCGCGATGGCAGCGCCTGCTCGATTTCCGGCAGCGCCCCCAGCACAAGGGCCCGGTGCCGCCGCACGTAGAGAGGCGCGGGAGAGTGGTGAAGCTGCCGCCGTCTTGGGTAGATCGCATCGTGCCGCGCGCCATCACCAAGTACGTCAAGCCATACGCCATGAAAATGCAATTCTCCAACAGGTCCGTCACCGCCGAGGTGTTTGACACTCTCCACGACAATGCGCTGGTGGTCCGCGCGTCCAGCCGCGACGAGGAGCTCAAGCAGGGCCTGGCGAGCTTGACGGATTGCGCGGCGGCGGCAAAGGTTGGAGAAGCTCTGGCGGAGCGATTGAAGGAGAAGGGGATCCCCGGCGTTACATACTTTCGCAACCGAGGTGAGCTCTACCATGGCAAGAGAAAGGCCCTCTTGGATAAGCTCAGAGAGACCGGCGTCAAGCTCATCTAAGCCATAGCTAGCGTGACTCATCCCAGGAGAGAGCTTCTTCTCTAGAAGAAAAGAGTGACGATGGTTGGAAGATCTTCTATCATTCCATCTTCGAATCAAAACACTTCAACTCACTGGATCGCTATCCGGCAAGCTCTCGAAGTTCATCTTTTCCATGAGAAGTCGAGCTTCTTCCACCCTCGACTCCTTGCACAGCCCGTCGACGATGGTGCTGAGCGACACCACGTTGGGCTGGATCCCTCTCCCGGCCATCTCCTCGATCATGGCGATGGCTTCGTCCACTTTGGCCGCTCGGCAGTAGCCCCGGATCAAGATGTTGTAGGCCACCACGTCCAACGCGCAGCCTCTCTCGTGCATTCGCTGGAACAGCTCGCGGGCTTCGTCCAGCCGTCCCACTTTGCAGAAGGCGTCGATGATGGCGGTGTAAGTCACCACGTCCGGGACGCAGCCAGCTCTTCGCATCTTCTGGAGCACGACGTAGGCGTCGTCGAGCCTGTCCGCCTTGCAAAGCCCGTCGATGACTGCGCTGTAAGTCACCACGCTCGGAGCTCGGTCCCCGGTTTCCAGCATCCGTTCCAGGATCACGCAGGCCTCCTCCACCCGGCGAGACTTGCAAAGGCCGTCCACCAGCACCGTGCACACGGGCACGCCAGGCATGCACTTCCTCTCCATTGCCTGGTCCATGAGTTCCTTGGCCTCGCTCACTCGGTTGTCCTTGCAGAGGCTGTAGATTATCACGTTGTACGAGACTGGGTCGGGAGCACAGCCAGCTTCGATCATCTTGACGTGAACAGCTTTCGCCTCGTCCAGCTTTCCGGCCTTGCACAGCCCGCTGATGAAGCTGGTGTAGACGATCACGTCCTGGACGTCTCCCGCGGCCATCTCAAACAGCTCCCGTGCTTCGTCGTGTCGGTCATGCTTGCAGAGGCCGTCGATCAGAGTGCTGTACAAGGAGCCGCTGGGTGATCGTCCGGTGCCTTTCAAGCGTCTCATGAGCGAGAGAGCTTGGTCTATCCTGCCGGCTTTGCAGTATCCGTTGACGACGGTGGCATACGTAACCAGCTCGGGAGAGTGTCCTTTGCTCAACATCTCTTCGAAGATCTGGTGGCCTTGTTCCCACTTGCAAGCTTTGAAGAGGCTGTGGACGAGAACGGTGTACGTGACTTTGTCGGGTAAGCAGCCGCTTTGTACCATTCGTTCGAAGTAGGAGGCCGCCAAGTCTAACTTGTTGATCTTGCACAGATGTCCGATGACGACGGTGTATAGAAAAGCGTCGGGCTTCACTTTCATGTCGATCATCTGGTGGAAGATTTGAAGTGCTTTGTCGGTGAAATTCAGCTCGCAAAGCTTGCGAATGAGAGAGCCAAAGGTGACGATGGTGGGAGTAATTCCTGCGGCCTTCATCTCCCCAAGAAGATTTACTGCCTGTGGTATTTGCTCGGCTTTGCAAAAACCTCTTATCAAAGTCCCATAGGTGAAGTCGTCGGGCCTGAAGAGTGTGACAAGCTCGTCTTTGAAGACTCTGTATGCCTCCCGATGGCATCCGTCGTTAACAAAGACCTCCAGGAGGGAATTGCAGGTGTAAGTATTGTGCTGGAAGCCTGGACGTGCTTTAGCCCACTGGAAGAAGAGCATTGCTGCCTGTGGATTCCTGAGCTTGACGAGAACTCTGCCAACTACCACAGGGACGAGCCGTCTTGAGCCGTAGCACTCGTCCAGAGCTCGAGATAGGAGATGTGGGTCTACCGAGTTGGCCAGCAAAACCTTTATGAGGGCTTCGGCAGCTGCTTGGGCTGCTCGCTCTCGTGCCTTGCGCTCTTGAGCTGCTGCTGCTCCACCTCCTCCAGGAAGCCTCCATTCGGCTACATTATTGCTATCCTGTGCTGAGTAGTCGATTGCTACGCTCGAGAATCTGCTGCTGCACTTGAGCTGCTTGCTGGGAGAGCTTCTTACGGGATACCTGTTGAATTTGATTCCGAAGGAGAGGCCATCGATTCTGTAGCTCGTGTCCATTTAGCTACGGTAGGGCAATTCAGAGGCCGTTTATAGCGTTAAGAAGACGATAAGCTGCTGTGTGTCAAGTGTCTTCTCGGTGTTTGCTCATGATGGATGCCTGCAGAAAGAGTTTTGTTTGATCACGGAAACAGATTGAATTCGTATTCACCTGTTCCTGTATGATACTTCTGGCTTCCACCAGCTGGGCTTCTAGTTCCAATTCGCGCTCAGTAGCTTCACAAGTCACTTCTGCACTCTTTTGTGCTTGCTCAAGCTGTACCATGCGTTCCTGAAAGAACAGAGAAAAGAGGAAATGCTTGGCACCGGCACCAGCAAAGTACCTTGATGGATGACATTTTCGCTCGCAAGCTTTGCTCGATTTGATCGCGAGCTAAGTGGAAAGGCAGGTCAAAGACATCCTGGTGAAACAAAGTAGAGAATTTATCAAGACAAAAAGATGATCCAGCCAAAAGCGTACCGTGCGTCCTCCAAGAGGCGTGGCTGGTGGTTCTGCTTCGTTTACCACATTAACGGGTTTGTGCGGCATGTTTAAAAAATCTCGCATGTCCGACTGCCAAGAAAGTTGATCTCACCTCAAGGATGAAAAACACTCAGCGGATATACCTGCATTGACCTCAACAATGACCTCAACTCGGAGTTCTCTGTCATGAGTTCGAGCTTCTTTGCTTCATACGCATCAACCTGCATTGCATCGCGTACGCTTGAGTACATGTGGGAAGCACAAAAACTTACAATCATCTTGTAGAAGTCTCCATCGGCTTTCCTGCCATTCCAAGTTCCTCGTTGTCTGCCTTCTTTCTGCAATGTTTGATAGTGATATGCCTGCTCTTTTTGCATATGCAATGTAGCAGACCTGCAAGAGGTTCATTATCTCCATGCCTGCTTTTGTCTCCTTTTTCTTCTCCATAAGCACTTGGTTTAACCGTTCCTAGAATGAATCGATAAGTAGAATCAAATGAAGAAACTGCAAGCTCATACCTGTAGCTTCAGGTACTCTTTTTCCTTTTTCTTTAGCTCGTGGAGCTGTTGGGTGCGAATTTGCTGGTGTAAAAAGAAACAATAAGCCACACGAAGATGTTCAAAAGGGTTTACCTGAGAACCAATAAGCATGCGTTGAAACTCATCCCTTTCTTGTTGGAGCTTGTCTATTTGAGCTTTAGCAGCAGCAGCTGCCTTTTGTTCCTGACAAGAACAAGAAGTATTATCAAAGATGAAGTAGAACTAAATACAGCTGAGCATCTATTCAAACTCACCCGGCTCATTACTGCCACCAGCTCTCTTTCTTTTGTTGAAAGCTGCGTTTCCAGCCGCTCCACCTTCGCTTCGAGCCGAGACATATCGGACATCAACCTGCATTGATAGTTTACAGCGAGAAAAATAAGCATGAAACGAGAAACCTTTGTCGCTGATCGTTAGCTCCTTCTCTAAACTCGATATCTCGCTGCCTTTGTTGAAGAACATCGTAGATACAGTTGCATGTTTGAGCGATGGAATTCTGCAAAGGTAGTAAGAATGAGAAAGAACAGTAAAAAGGACTGCTACTTACAGGATCACTCGAGAAGAGATTAAGTGGAGATGGAAAGCCATACGCAACCAAAGTTTGATTGAGGTACTTGATACAGTGTTCCAGGTTGCTAGCATTGGCAAATTCATGGTCTCTGGAATACAAACCACACACGTTGTTTAGGCTACCTACCTTGGAAGAGAAAACAAATTCCAATGCTACTACTTCTCACCCGTTAGAAAATTCCGGAGACACTGGCGCATCCTACAGCCAAGAAAACAGGGAATCGTTAACCTAACAGACGAGAAAACCAGCTCCGATTCCCAATGCCGGCCTAGGAAGGGACTTACCAGAGCGCCGAAATTCACGAGACCAGCCCCAATCTCTGCGTTGAAGCCTCGGACGCCAAGCATTCTCCACAGATTTCACGAGATCGCTGGAAGGAGCAGTGCCAGGGATCGAATTCCAGCGATTCGGCAGCGCGGCAGCATGGATCCGGCGGAGACACAGCGAAATCCTAGAATGGCGCCAGCCGGCGGGCCGAGAGATCGATCGGCCAGATGGAAGCCGGATGAGCAGCCGAGAAGAGAAAACCAAAAAATTTGAAAACAAAATGGATAGACCAACGTGCTCTTAGCGTAAAAATCCCAAACCGTGCGATGAAGACTCGGATCCGACGCTCCAAGAGCATGCCAAGTGTCTTCCTCTGGTTGGCCCAATCGTTACACACTGAGATACTCTCGGCTAGCTTGGAACTCTCTTGGTCATTATAACTCTTCGCCTTCTTCCAATCCAAGTCGAAGCCCAGATTGGATCCAAAGCCACGGCTTTGTATCCAGACTTGGAGTAAACTCTTCGCGCTCTCACATCGTCTTCGTAGGCATGAAGAATGAGGTGTTTAAATCCCCACAGCGATGCTCGCAAATCCACGCCTTGCAAAAGAGCTGTGGCAACATTCCTCCGTCTATCAAAGCGAAGAACACGACTTAGAACGCCAGGACAAAGTTAAGTTGAAGCTCTATGAGAAGAAAGATTCAAAGATCAAAGATCTATGAGCAGTGTTTTTGTAATCGAAGTACCTGTAGTTTTCGTCGACGGCCAAGCCACTGACGTAGAGATACTCGTCGGCATAATCGTCCTGGAGATGTTGGAGCATGTCTTTGTCGTCCAGCGCGGTTAAATCCACGACTCCGACCATTTTCTTATCATCCTCGTCTTGGGTCTCGGCAACCAAGCATGTATATCTGCGGAAAATTCGAGTTTTCATTCACACAAAAGCTTGGATTGGATGGTTCTTACCTCTGAGGGGGCGAGAGCCTCACTTTGTAAGTAAGAGCAGTCAAGACCTCCGCCTGGAATGAAGAGAAAAAAGAGAAAACGAGATAAGAACAATCGATCTCTCGAGAGAGGAAGAACTTACTTTGAATATGTCGTAGAAGAAATCGTTGAAGACCACTGCGGGCGAGTGAAACGCCTCGGCTTGGATGAGTGATACGTCTTGCAAGTCCTTTTGCTTCCTGGGATTTAGATCTCTCACGCTCCACCCGTAAGCGCTGAGAAGATAGTCGCTGCTCTGCTGCAAGGTCGTGCTGGCGGTGGCGGTGGTGGCGCTGGAGTTGGCTTTGAGCGGCGCTGCTCCAAGGCCTTGGTGTTCTTCGTGAGAAGCTACTTTGTCATACTTTGTCGGCCCAGCGCTCGCGCGAGAACTCTTCCTGTGATCGTGCTGCTGCTCGGAAGAATGCGAGGCAATCGCGAGCACGGCATTCCTGTGATGAGCTCTTCTCGACACTGCCAAGAACAATCATTGCTGTGGAAAGGAAATGGAAAGAAAGAAATCACAAACCTGTTGTGATGGAGAAGGCGCCTCTGTCGGTGACGATGAGAAGCGATGAGAAGCAATCCTCGCTTCTTACGCTTAGAAAACAGTCGCGCGAGCTGAGCGCCAACATCTTCTCGCCCAGCATTGCGCGCGATTGATTCTCCACCGCCGAGAAACAAGAAATCTATGAGCTCGCCATTGGAAGCCCTAAAAATTCAAAAGAGATTTTTTATTTTAGGGTTCTAGCGAATGTTCACGATCCAGGTAACTATCCACTCCGATCGATTCAAGCTCTCTCCACAGGCGCGGCGAAAAATCCACAGAAAGGGGGAAGAAATCGTGGAAAATGCCCGGGTTTTGTTCAAGAATCTTGAGTCGATCGATGGGCCGCCAGAGATTTCTCGCTTCGTCGCCGCGGCCAAGGCTTGCGGCAGGGCCGGGGATCTGGAAACCGGGATGAGAATCCACTCACGGGCGATCAAGGAGGGCTTGATCCAATCCAACCGGTTTCTTGCCAACACGCTGCTGGATATGTATGCCAAATGCGGGCGCATGGACCGAGCTCGCGAGATTTTCGATGGATTGGAGAGGCGCTGCGTGGTCTCCTGGACGGCGCTCATCCTTGGATACGTCCAGAACGGGGAGAGCGAGCTCGGGCTGGAGCTCTTTTCTCGAATGGAGCGCGAAGAAAAGGAAGAGGGTGGTGTCAAGCCGGATGCTCGATTGTTCTATGCTGCTGTCAAGGCTTGTGTCGATCTGGTAACTGAGCACTACGACGACAAGGACTCTCACGGCTGTGGGACGAAGAACAAGTTCGTTCAAGGCAAGCAAGTGAAGCTGTGGTGTCTGGAGAAAGGAAAACTTCTCCACGACAAGCTTTCGAGGATTGGTCTCGAGGAGGATATCTTCGTGACGGGAAGCTTGGTGGATTTGTTTGCTCGGTGTGGGAGCATGGCAGATGCTCGCAGGGTGTTTGATGGGATCGTACAGCACAGCGTTCTGTCGTGGAATGCGATCATCGCCGGGTACGCTCACAGCGGAGAGTTGGAGAGGTGTTTCTGGTTCTATGGACGGATGCAGCAAGAAGGTATGGCTCCTGATTCTCGGACTTTCATTGCGGTGCTGAAAGCTTGTGCTGCTTTTCCAGGAAGCAAGCTTTCGGCCTTGAGGATTGGAGCGAGAATTCATTGGCAGCTCGTGGAGAGTGGATACGAGCGGGATGTTTTCGTGGCGAGCACCGTCGTGGATATGTTTGCAAAGTGTGGGAGCATGGCCAGAGCACGGGAGGCGTTTGACAGGATTGCGAAACCTTGCCTTGTGTCTTGGAACTCGATCATGATGGGCTACGCTCAAGGTGGCGAAGGTAAGCGTGCTCTTGAGTTTTTCTATCGCATGGATGGAGAAGGACTGACACCGGATGCCCGTAGTTTTGTAGCTGCTCTCAAAGCTTGCGCAAACTTGGCTGCTGCTGCGAAAGAAGACGAGGATTCCGACGATGCTACGTTGCTTCTCTGCGTGGAAAAAGGTGGAGATTTACACTCGCGGGCAGAGAAACACGGGTACACTTCCAACATCTACGTAGCTAATGTGCTAATTGATATGTACACGAAGTGTGGCAGCTTGGACGAAGCGCGTAAAGTTTTTGACAAGATGATCCACCGGAGTGTCATGTCGTGGAATTCGATCATCATGGGGTATGCTCAGGCGGGTGACGTTGAGACGGCTCTAAACCTTTTCTCTAAAATGCAGGAGCAGGGAATTCAACCAGATGCCCGTTCTTATGTTGCAACTTTGAAGGCGTGCTCGAGTTTCGCAGAGGGAGATGTGATCGAAAGTCAGCCTGCAAAACTATGGTGCTTACAAAAAGGCTCCGAAGTTCATAGGCAACTCGAGGTCACAGAGGCGGCATCGGACATCTTTGTGTCCAGCACACTGGTAGACATGTACTCGAAATGCGGTGACATGGCGATGGCTCGGAAGGTTTTCGACAGGATGTCCGATCCCAACGTGGTTTTGTGGAACGTGATGATCACCGGTTACGCTCAAAACAGCAGTGGTTCTAGCAGTGAAGAGGCAGTGAAGCTGTTCACACGGATGCAGCTTGAGGAAGGCTTTGAGGCTGATAACATCACTCTGGTAGCGGCTCTCAAGGCGTGCGGAAGCTTGGGAGCTCTCAACACCGGGAAAGAAATCTACAGAGCAATAGTGGAGCTTGAAACCGGGCTCGAGCACGATCAGCTTGTAGTAGCGAGTCTGATAGATTTTTACGGGAAATGCGGGAGCATGGTAGAGGCACAGCAGGTGTTTGAATCAGTTCCCAGCGTCAGGAAGAACACGGTGACTTGGAACTCGCTCATAGCAGGCTATACGCATCAAGCTGATGTTCACAGTGCTCTCGAGCTCTATGAGAGGATGAAAGGGGATGACAAGCGTCCGGCGGTGAACGGGGTCACCTTCCTTTGCCTTCTAAACGCCTGCAGTCACGCCGGTCTCGTCGACAAAGGACAGAAGTTCTTCGCAGCGATGGTTTCTCTTCACGGGATTACTCCTGGCATCGAGCATTATACGTGCTTGGTCGATCTTCTGGGCCGGTCCAACCATCTAGATGAAGCTCTTACTGTGCTGCGCGAGATGCCTCTCCGGGGCAACAAGACGATATGGATGACGCTGTTGAGCTCGTGTAGAAAGTGGAGAAACGTTGACATTGGCACGGTGGCTTTCAAGAAAATTCTGGAGATCGACAACAGGGACTCGGCAGCTTATATTCTCATGACGAATCTCTACGCGAGTGCCAAACGCTGGGACGAAAGCGTACACGTCGAAATGATGAGAATGAACGCTGGGGCTTTGAAGAAACCCGGTGAAAGCTGGTGGATTGATAGCCATGGAAAGGTTCACAAGTTCGTGGCTGGCGACAACAGGCATCCTCAAAGCGAGCAGATCTTTGGAAAACTCAGGCTCATGTTCTTGAAGTTGAGGGAGCAAGGCTACCTTCCCGACTTGAACAGCGTGTTTAGAAACATCAGTGACGAAGAAAAGGAGTCGGCATTGTTCCAGCACAGCGAGAAGCTTGCAATCTGCTGCGCTCTCATCAACTCGGCCGCTGGAACGACAGTCCGGATCACCAAAAATCTCAGAGTTTGCGACGATTGCCACAAAGCTACGAGTTACATTTCCAAGCTCGAGAGACGGACAATCATCTGCAGAGACGCAAGCCGATTTCATGTGTTCCAAGATGGCAAGTGTTCGTGTGATGACTTCTGGTGATGGACTGATGCTGATCGATCAGCATCGACCGGATCCATCACAGTAGATTAAAAAATTCACATTGTTAGATACGTTAACAAGCTATTAATGTAGATTTTGGATGGGAACCTGTTGGCCGGCTATCTCGCTAGAATAAAGAAATTTGTTGGCAAGGTCACAGGTTCGAATCCACAGCCAGAGAGACCCAACTTAAATTTTTTGTTAAAGACTAGCTCGAGGGACATTGCATGAATCAAAATATTGTTTTGCATGGTCTAGCAAACAAGCTGGCAAAAAGAAGAAGAAAAAGCAGCAGCTTGCATACACCAATCCGAATTCCCGTTCTGAAAGAAAGCCAAGATCATGACCTTGCCAGCTCTGGTCAGGTGTGACAATCATCTTTGCTTCTCCTCGAGCGCTATGGCTGCACTCTCGGATCACACAGGATGGATTTTTTCTTTTTCTTGAACCATCCACACTTTTTCAAGAGAAACAAACAGAAAAGAAGACTGTATCTAGCCCAGAAAGAAAAGAACTAATTTCTCCTCCTCCAAGATCTTATGAATTTGAGATATGCAACGATCCAGGCAGGGAGCTGCTTAATCGAGTCCAAAAACAGTTTCGATGGAAGCAATGGTTGGAATTGAGGTGGAGTCCCTCTATGGCTTCCTTGCCATTCTGAGGACTTATACTCCGGGAGCCATACAGGCGGCAATTTCTACTTCATGACGACGCAAATTGACGAGATGGAAATGGATTGGTCTCATGTGGTGTGGATGCAAAGCTACGAAATGTGCTCGGTTTGCTTTTGGTTTGCTTGGACAAATTTGTAGTAGATATTAAAATATGCTTGTGTGAGGTCCAAAGTCACACTTGAATATTATTTATCATTTATTAATATTCACTTTTATACTTTTATACAATGTTAAACTTTTAGATATAATATTTTTCTGTTACTAATGGGCATTATTCTTATAGCTACCAAAATATTTAGTTTCATCTAATTAAAATAAGAAAAATGAATCATCCATGACTAGGGTATGCTAGGTTATAATACATTGTTTTAAAAGTGTCTAGTTGATTATATCTGTCTTTTCCATCATGTAGAATGCTCACTTGGCCTACCCAACATGTGTAGTGTATGTATCTAATTATAAAAAATAAAAAATTAACAGTGGAAAAGTGTTTTTAGAGTTTTTTAACATTAAATTAAAAGAGCAAGTAAATTTCTTGTTACCGATGGTGTTAGAGTGTAAAATACCCATAATTATGAACATTATTTTTATAATTTTTAGAAATATTCTTAAATTGAAAAAGAACATTTAAAGAAATTAAATTACAAAGTTGTGGGATTTGTAAAAAGAAAATTCATGTGTTTAGTAAATGAAATTATATTTTAAATATGGAAGTAAAGCTCTATATTTCATTATCCAAAAGCAGCAATATTTATCATAACTATAGCCAATTTAACAACTGTTGTGGTCGTATGTAATATTTTCACCTGATTAGATATTATTTTTCCAGAGCTTTTTTTTAGATTAATAATGTATCATTGTAGTTCTAACTTTACACCCAATTCTAAACTTAAGGATATTTTTGCAGTCTTTCATTTAAATTATATTAAGTTGTCCTGATATAGCTTCTTTCCAAGAAGAGCATCACGTTGCCCTAATGTGAAATGTAAATGACATGGATCTCATTTGTACGACAGCTGGATCATTGCTCAACTAGCCTTGCCTGTCGAAGGTCAAGCACTCGTCATCTCTTTCATGAAATCTATTCTTCTTTTCACAACAGTAAGATCGAGTACCTTGCACGAGATCTTGCACGTTCGTTGTTTTCATAGACTCGTGTGAGCACGGGCTCGATTGTTCGTCCTTTATAAAGAATAAAAAAGTCGGTGGCCCGATTGATTGCTGGTCCACTTGCAAGTGAAACGAAAGTGCGTCATTCGCTCGCTGTTGATAGGCGTCAACGGCGGCGAATCGTCACGCAGATATATGCTTGGAGCACTCGATAAACAGAGAGATGAGCATGGAACATCTTCTTCACCTGTGGAGTAAAAAAGAAAGAAAGATGAATCCATCGTGAAAGAAAAACAAAGAGTAATTCGAGAAATTGTCAAATAGTCAAAAAAGACGATGCAAGCTTCCGTCGCCAAACATGACGGCAGTGGATATTCCACGAACCGGAGGCCTCGTCTTTGCCACTATCGCTGCTTGGAGAGCAATCTAAAAATCTCATTGGCAAATTCCTGTGCAGCGTCGAGTGCATGGCATTGTGTCAGAAACGTAATGCTTTCCACTCTTCGGTTTGCCGCTTCTTTGAGCCGCGCTGTTTGGAGAAAAGTAAAGAGAAACAGAGTGTTCTTTCGTGTTTATAGTCTACAAGCAAGCAGCTTTTGTTCACCTGCGAAGTGTAAAGCGCAACTGGAACGTTGGAGACAAAAAAAGTTTCTTTGACGATTTGCTTGGTCCCGGCCTCAATAAAGGCAAGGCTGTGTCCAGCAAACAGCATCGCCAAAAGAAGAGCTGGCAAGACGAACACCATGACTAGAAAAGTTGTTATTAAAAAATACGAGACCAAGTACCTGAATTCTTTGTGCCCGAGCAGACTGTACGTGAACAAATCCAGGTTACAAGAAACCACTGCCGCAACCACCAAATACTGTTAGTGGCAGTGAAATACCAGTGCCAGGGATGCCTAGAAGTCACCACCACCCGATAGGAAATTAAACTGGAGAAACCTCAGTTTCACAAATATCCATCTCCCGTACAAAACGAAAGTCTCTCCAAGAACGACACACCCGCAAGTTGGAAGCAAATTGGAGCATGCGTCCCTCTCTTTGCTTACTCGATAGGAAGAATTTTTGGAGAAGACATCTGGTTTTGTCACGGCATTCATAGAGGCTGGTCGGTCGGATGGCACACGAGATCCATGCCACGCAAAGGGCAAGCTGACGATTCCTCATAAATCTCAAGTGCTAGTCGATCAATCGTAGTTAGGACAGTCTCGATGCTGCTAGGTAGAGTGCGAACCATTCAACAGAAAGTCAACCAGTTGACGAGCTGGCAAACCATCTGCATAACAAAGTTTGTTTGTGAGAATCGCGAATGGATACTAACTGTCCAGTTTGCAACAACTTTGGGAAACGAAAGCTCAAGTTCTATCGAGCTTGCCACGACTATCCAGCTTAAGCACCGTGCGACAATGAGCGGGTGCATAGCTAGACAAAGAAAACAAAAATGTAAGACCCTAGGTAAAACTCCACTTGAGTCATAGGCGTGCATTTAAAGGCATAGCAATCCAAGGTGGCTTATGTTTGCTACAAGCTGTATTTGTTTGTGACTGCTAGGTTTCAACTAAGATTGATGTGAAATGCCAATTCTAAGCAAGATAACAAAGAATTGTATTGGAAAATATTGGGCTTAGACCGCAGTCTAGAAAGAATGAAGGCCAACCTGGCAAAGACGGAAGCTGTGGCTGCCACCTAGCAGACGCTGATCTGCTTGTAGTGGCTGGGTCTGCCGTCCGGATACCTCACAAGAACCATCGTAAAGCCGTCACGCTTGAGCAGGAGCTGCTGGCTCAGCTCGAGCTGTTCTCCCAAACTTTCGGACCCTCGGATAACCTTGGAATGGAGTAGCATGAACTTGCCATCTGCCCGCTCCACCACCGCGTTGTGCCACGGTGTTGGGATGTGGAAGTTCTTCTCCTCGGAAGAACGCTGGGCTGCCACTAGAGAGGAATGGATGACGTTGATGCCATACTTGGGACCTCTGTTTGGATGAGGGTGGATGGAGATGCGGAGCTGCAAAGGGAAGAGCCACTCCACCATGGCCGAGTAGGCACGGTTCCTGAGGATCATGAGAAAGGCAACTTGGCTGCACAGCTTCTTCTTGGCCGATTTTGACGGAAGGTCCTTGCAGCTCTTGTGTTCGTACAAGTCCTCGAGCATGAACCTGGAGAAGCCACGATATAGATTGCGTGTCTCCGGGTCCTCCTTGATCTCCTTGGTGACAGTTGACTCATCACATCCAAACAAGCACATGAGAGCTCGCCTGGCATTCTCTGCATTGGCGGTGATCTCGGTCCCGACGGGATGCTCCACGGTGGTGTTGGAAATGAGCTTCGTAATGCTGTCCTCGCTGTGGTTGTCCAGCAGAAACTCATCCAAGCGAAAGAAGCTGACCAGGCCAGGATACAGACTGTGTGCCATCTCCCAAAACATCTCTCCATAAGAATCCACGGCAGCATCATCCGAGCCGACCAGATCAGAGAAGACATGGCCATCCGAGACGACGTTGTAGTGCACGCCTGGAGCATACACGGCCTTGATGAGATTCGCAACGATCTTCATGGAATGGATGGCTAGCTCCTCTGCCTTGTCGGGGCATTTTCCCAGTGTCTTGTCAGGATTGCACGACTTGACTGGAAATGCCGGCAAGACGAACTCGAGTGGAACATTTCTTGCAACGTGGTACCTCACTCTGTCTGCAAATCTTTGTTTGCCTCTACTGGTGAACCACTGATCGTGCTTTGGAAAGTGGATGTAATTCTTCTCGATGATGTCCACAACTTGGGAGGTGATGTCGTCCACCTCTTGAGGTGTGTGTGAAGTGAAGGGCTCCAGAAGGCAATCTCTGGTCATGACACTGTTGTCCAGCAGCAGAGACGCCAGATAACTCATGCTCTCGCTATCCTCCTGGAGAGTCCCTTGACTGGGATCCTGGATGAAAACCACGCCCTCAAATCCATTCCCAATGTATCTCTCGTAGACGATGGCTTCCCACGGTGAGCATGAATCAGCTCCAAGCATGGACATGCTGTAGCTGTTGATCTCCGGAGCCATGGAGATTGTGGCTTGCTTGGCTGCCTCTAAATCTTGTGCCTTGTCACTCACGACCATGGAAGAGAACAAGAAATCACACTTCGCTGCTACTGGAACATGCCTGGACGCAGATTGTGAGACGAAGGCAATCTCACCGCTCTCTCTATGGATATACAAGAACGCAATCTTGTCCTTTGGAAAAGCCATGGAATGAATTGAAGATATCAAAAGAAGTGAATGAAGTGGTCCCTAGATGAAAATCTGGTGCATAGAAATCTTTAGCTGTGTTGCGGATGGATATGTGGGTTGTGACCCCGCAGCCTTTTATATCTGGGAGGGGTCGCCCATGTTTGACTGGCTTCACATTTGAAAACGTGCTCAATTTAGATTCCTCTCAACACTGAGACGAGCACAATTGATTCTCTAATTCGTCGAAAGTGTTCTAGCTTCACACTCAGTTTCTCAGCTGAAACACGTGACGAGATACTTGTCAAACTAATAATTCAATGAAATATTCTGAAACAACTACAAATGGGGCGTTACAGAGGTAATCATCAACGGTGTGAAGTAAATTCTTGTGGATCTGGAACATCATTGACAGGAGGCTGAAAACAGTGGATGGGCTTCCAAAATCTATCCAGCAGATTGTCCATACAGCAGTAGAACTATATTCTTCTTCATCACAACCATCCCTTTACCTATAGCATTATCCCTGCATTATCAAAATATTCACATTAACATTATCTCTATCTTTTGAAACTGTTATGAAATCATATAAACCTTCTACTTGAAAGTTGTCCATCACTTTCAAAAGTCCATTGTGAGCACTGGAGTGTATCCTTGGAAAACGTCTCATACACAATCTTGCTCACAAAACGCGAAGCAAACTGCAGCTCGTAACTCTTATAAGCGTCTCCACCTCGCATGTAGAGAACTTTGTCATTTGACTCGGCATTGCCAAAAGTCACGCGTCTGCCAAGGCCGGCATTGCCCGGATGATGCCAAACCCATCGAAGTCTTCTCCAGAACATGTGCTGGGATTCGACCCCAGTGCCTGTACCTCTCACTCCTGCAGGTCTTTTTCCGGGAACACCTCTTGCCTCAGAAGTGCAAGCTCCCAGACCAAACCGGCAGAAAAAACGTTTCGCATTTTTCGTATTCTTTGTAATTAGGAAGCGCTTTTCCAGGACATCTGTCCGCCAGAAAGAGATCGCTGTCAGCTCCACCTCAAAGTAACTGACCCTTAAGATAAAATTCCCCGGCTTCAAAGCAGTCATCAATGAGACTAGATCGTTCAGAGCTTGACCATCTCCTAATTTTAGAATCTCAAATGGTTTTCCTGAGGGCAAGGATCGTAGGTTCCTCGCTAATCCCGTCTATGGAAAGTGCGGGCGCGCGGACGCTTTGGGAGTCTTCCACGAGATGGAAGATCATTCTCGGCATTTGCCCGAAATGCCTGGAAGTGAAGCTATCCAGGCCAGCGGCGACAACTAGCGCGTGGATGGATCTCCGCCGGATCGGCATTGATAGCTACAAGCACGTGACGGAATAGATCGAGAAGCATTTGCCGGAAGAGCGCCAGGGCTTCAATGCCTACGGCCAAGCTCACTTCTTAAAGTATATTTTTTCTTCAACGCTTCAAGCAAAGGCAAAATGCTCGATGAAATGCCCAGACTGGAAGAAGATGCTCTTGAAACGAAGAAAGTGATGGAAGAAGTTCTTTAAAATACAAGAGAGCTCGTGGCTTGATCGCGGTCACGCAAGAGCTTCTCCACGATTCTCAAGCACCAGACAAGAACACGGTCTCCAAAGTCCTTGCTATCCCGGACACAAGGTCTTTGTCACCATAGCCGGACCTCGCGTTCTATCCAGCGAAAACCGTAGCATCACGGAGGATTGAGGCGGATACGTGGCCTCTCCCACGAGGAGATTGCATGGCTTCGCTGCGAATGCGCTAGACTTGTAGCGATGCTCCACCTCTTCTCGTCGAGATTCATGGCGGCCTCGGCTGTTCTTGCGCGAAGTCGCGTCTCGAGAGCAGCGATGAGCGCTCCATCAGTCTTTTGGAGATACTCCTAAGCTTGCGGGCTCTGCGACCTTCGCCTCGCAGCTCGAGCCAGTCACACTTCTTTTCGACGTGGGACTTGAACGATGCGGCGCTTGAGCTCGTGATCTTGTTCTTTGCGGTGACCCGGACGATGCCCACCGGATCGATCCCACCATTTGAGTCCAACGGCAATGCACGGGGTCTTGTCCATCCTTCCTGCTCGTATGTTGCACACCGCGGCGGCACAGCCTTAGTAGAAGATCTCGAAGGGATCGTCTGGCCATTCTTCCGCTCGTCTTCCACCGAGAACTCCCGGAGGGATTTGCTGGTTGATGGAGTGGTCACGTCCATACATCCGGAGGATTGCCTCGTTTGTGAAACTCTTGGCTTGCTCACCGAGAGGAAAGAGCTTGGACAAGACGGCCTATGAGCTTCACCATCTTCATTGTCTTCTTTTCCATCAACTTCTTTTCGTCATCGTTTTCTCTCTTTTCATCTTGGAAGGAATCAAAACCCGGATCACCTTAGCACTCTTCCTCTTCTTCTTAGAGGCGCTCTCCAAACTTTGGGGCCAGAGACGTGAATGCTGCGAGCATGTGACTGACAATCGGCTGGTATCCCACTGTGTCCGCACTGGATTGTCCCTGCTAGAGAAGGCAGTACCTAACACCTCCATCTGGAAAGCCATCCTCTCAAGGAAAAACATGGCAACCACCTCATTGATCCTCAAGAGTGTGAATGTTGTTGTGGCCAAATGTTTATTGTTGGGTGTTTAATGAAATTGTTAACATTTTTTGTTTTTTGAATTAGCATTTTCCATTTTATCGGTGGAGGCTTTGGTTTCAATACTGTCCTATTGTTGCTACTGCAATGGAAAATAATGATGCAAAAATTCTTTCAGGAAATGAAGAGTCACAAAAGTAATAGAGGATCCTTGCTGGTGCATGGACAGCTTATTCAAGTCTCATAAGGAAATGGTGGCAAGATAATTGAGGCCAAGAAAGTTTTTGATGAGATATCAGATAGGAGCCTTGTGTCCTGGAACCTCATGCTGGGAGCTTGCTTTCAAGCTCGTGAACTCGAGCAAGCCAAGGTGGTGTTTGAAACAATGCCCAAGAGAGACAAGATATCCTGGAACACAATTCTGGCTGGCTACGGTGTTCATCACGGGAAACTTTTGGAGGCCCAGAAGATTTTCTACGCTCGCAGCATTGTCTCCTGGAACACGACGTTCTTCTCGGGAAAACGCTCGAAGAACCGTGCTGCCGCTTCTAAGTTGCTGTTTCCAGTGACAGATCCGAGCACAACACCATGAACGCAGGAAATGCTCAGGCCGGAGAACTAAGCTCCTGCTTCGATCTGGTGGTGAAGATGGCAATCGAGGGACTCACTCCGGACGAGCAAACCTTCTCCAGTGTTCTCGCTGCGTCCAGCCATGGCAGAAAGCTAGAACAGGGACTCCGCCATTTCGTGCTCATGAGCGGCGACTTTGGAATCACAGCTTTGAGGGAGCACTACGATTCAGTCACAGACATCCTGGGACGGGCTGGGAACATGGAACTCGCTCGAGAGGTCGTCCAAGCCATGCCATTTCTCCCGGATCTTCTGGCTACCAGATGCAAAGTGGTGAAGGCTTCACGCGACAAGCAGACAGGAGCGTTTTCGAGCTGGGCTTGGACCATACCAAGTGGTAGCCAAATTCACGTTATATCATTGTTTTTAAACTATGATTTGTATGATCAAATTACACCCTGGTTTACATTTATCTCTTCATGTAAGGCGCTCACCAAGTTGGCTGATGGAGGCATGTATTTAAGACACTCAAGCTGCTTGAACTTTCTTAGTCGCTACTAAAACCGGGAGCACTCCTCTTCACTCCACAGCGCCTCCTCCTTTGAATCGTCTTCTTGATCTTCTGCAATTCTCCACGATCCAGGGATGCTCCAGCACACCATCCAGCATCAACCTCTCGCTCGGCTCCACAGCCAGCATCCCGCAGATGAGATCCACCGCCTCGTCTGAGAGAGGACAACCATCTAGGAATTCCCCGGTTCGCAACAACTCGATCTCCTTGGATTGCTTGTAGCCTCTCAGCAGCTCATATGCGATCACTCCCAGTGCCCACACGTCGATGGCTGCAGTGTAAAAGCTCTATGACCTTGCATCGCCATGACCACCCTTGCAGCTCGTCACCTCTGGGGCCATAAACTTCCCGGTTCCACAGCACTGTGACATCTCCTTGGGGTCGTCAGTGGCCATGCCGAAATCTCCAATCACCACCTCGTGCACGGCAATAGCGTCCAGCTTGACCTTGCATGAGGTGGTGATTGGAGATTTCGGCAATGTTCTCCGGCTTGAGATCCCGGTGGACGATGCCGCTGGTACGTATCCCCTTGAGCGCCTCCGCCAGCATCTGGATGGTCTTGGCGGCCTCCTCCTCGCCCAGCGGCCCTCCCTTGATCAATCGATGGAACAGGCTAGGACCGCACAGCTCCATGACCATGGTCCCGTAGCAAGCCCCGCCGCTCCTCTCCTTCACGAAGCCCGCCAACGAGACCACTCCAGCGCAGCCGCGGAGCTTGGACATGAGCCGTCCCGGCCTCCCTCCCCGATGGAAACATTAGCTCGTAGCACCCTTGAGCACGAAAACCTGGCCCTGGCTCCCGCAGCCCAGCCTCTGGCCCCTCGTGTAGATCTTGAGGAGCTCGGCACAATCGTCGTCCTCGAACTCACCGTCTTCGCGCACCATCGCAGAGCTTCTCCTCTCGCGCATGATATGAGTAATAGAAAGGGTAGAAACCCTAGCTTCTCATAACGACTATTTGTCGACGGCTGGGATGGCGTTTTACCGACGGCTGAGATGTGACTCGATCTAGCCGAGAATATTCTAATTGTTTTCTTGGGCGTCTTCTCCTTGAGCCGTCCCTTGAGTCACCGGACCAGCTTTTGCAAGTTCCCCGACCTCCTTGGCAAACACATCAAAGTCCCTCCTAGTAGATCATCCACTTTGCACATTTTATATTGAGGAGTGAAGGCTTGAAAACTTGCCTTTGTATGAAAAACACGTAAGCCCTTGAGAAGGAGCACGAGCTCCTCCAGTTTCCTGTCACAGGTTGATTGCAAGTCGTTTATCTGCATTTTCAATCTCAGAACAAAGCTCCCAACGTGAATAAAGCTTTGTAAAGGAAGTAGCTTTGCTTGTAGACGTTACAAGCCTCCAGTTCTAGGGGCCTTGGCTTCTCCTTGTGCTTCAAAATCCTTGATGTCTTGCATGATCTTTCTGCCAGGAAATGCGAGATCAAAATCTTGTGGAAGCTTATAACTAGAAATGTTTGGAGGTTTGCAAGAAGTACTTATTTTGGAGCATTAATCTAACTTACAACAATGCTGTTTTGCTTATCTGGAGGTGAGACACACTAATTTATTAAGTACAGAGGTACCCAATTGCAATTGATGATTCGTTCAAAAGCAAACGTAATCTGAAAGTAACAAACACGTTAACAAGCTATTAATGTATATTTGGACGGGAACCTGTTGGCCGGATATCTGGTTAGAATAAAGAAATTTATTGGCAAGGTCACAGCTTCAAATCCACAGCCAGAGAACCAACTAATTTATTTTTTTCAAGTGTAGGCGACGTTGGGGTTTCTCCGCGATATTGGAATTTCTCCCTCTTTCTCCATCCCGCAGCTTTCCAGAGACCAAAAGACAGTGGTCGACCTAGTCCAGACTTGCCGGGCCCGTATGTGGACGGGTGGGTCTTTATGGAATTGGATGTGTCAGTGGCATCTTGGAGCTGGAGTGCTTGAACAGCAGCAGCCACGATAATCATGGTCAGTGTGTCCATCTAGCCGAGACTAACACGTCTCAGCATTGCTCGCTTGAACATCAACAGGTTTGGACGAGGAGAGGAGCTGAAACTTGCAGCAATGCAGCCTTGTCTAGGAAAGTATCTCGATCATTGCACTCCATTTTCTATGTGATGTCCTTGAATTTCAGCTAGAGGGGGTGTCCAAGTTTGTGGCACAGGAGCCAATTGCCACTGATCCAGCAGCAGTAGTAAGATTTCTAGGAGCGATGGCGAAACAGGAGAAATTTTTTGCAAAAGCTATTGGTGGCTGGGATCTTACTTTTTGATTTGATTTGAAGTTTGCACCTTTCAGGCTCTTACCATCGTCACGCAAAGCGCCATCCCTTGGACTGCCATGGACGCACGTTGACTTTTTCCGACCAACGAGATCTATCTCGGGGAAGATTTGCAGCGCTTGCTTGCCGGATCCACTCTGAGGGAGCGAGTTCCAGCAAATCCCGACTTGAGAGAACATCTCGTCGAAATATTTCCGTGCATCGTCGAGGCTACGGCAGCGAGCATAAATATGCTGAGCAGCGCCGTGAGCACCACACCCTCTCTAGCGATATACCCCTCCATCGCGAGAGCATGGCCAGCGAGTTGCAAGAATCCACGGCCACGGACTGTAATTAAGAATTCGTGAATCCACCACTGGCTCCTCCTACATGCTTCGTCAAAATAGCAAAATGGCACGGCGATCTAGAGGACTACTGACGACCTTGCTCCACACTTTCTCGATCGCATTCCAACCACTCGAGCAGCGTTGGATTGCCGTGCTTGTCCCAATCTCATGTAAGTAAGAGTGGAGCTGAGCGAGAGCGTGGTCTTTCTTCTCTCTTGGGTGATCTGGTCTGGCTCAAACCAAAACACTCACCTTCAAACTAGCACACATCAGACCATGACAAGCATTGCTTTTGTAAAAGGCAGTATGTATGGTTCTTGTCGTGCTCTTTTGCTTATACTCTTGTCCAGATCACTCAAGAGATTGTCTAGAGCTACTGGCTCCATTATTCGTCATCTTCGCCACCTTTGGGCCTCGATTCTCACCGAGCCATGTGTCAAGTGCATTGCGTTCTTGTAAGCATTAGGCTAGTGGAGTCACGCTTAAAAGCTTCTCTTTGTTCCTTACCACGCTCGCAGTGGCTTGACGTGGGTCCTCGCAGATCCTTGTGTTGTATCATTCCACCGCTCGTCGTGCTTCTTCTTTGCTCTCACCTGATGCTCGACCAAACGCTCTCACAGGCTGAATAACAAAGGAATCACTGATGCCACAAGCTTCAGGTTCCAGAGTCTAATCAGTTGCACCAAATCAGGGGTGGTCCATTGTCCTCTGGTGTTTTTGGGAGTGAGTATTTAATTTCATGGTTTTCAACATGGAGGATTTGATCTTGCAAAGAAGAGAGAAACAAACAAATACCCGAACCTCCAGGACTCTTGACATTTCCAGGCCTCTCAACTCTGCTGTTCAAGAGGGTGCGTGGATCAAATCAAACTCCCTCTTCCAGAAACTTTTCTTGTTCCGAGAAACGAATTTTGGGCCAAAAAATAATCCTGGAACCACGAAGAATTTGCACCATTCATTCAAAAGCAAGCGTAATGTGAAAGTAACAAACACGTTAACAAGCTATTAATGTATAATATGGACGGGAACCTGTTGGCCGGATATCTGGCTAGAATAAAAACAATTATTGGCAAGGTCACAGGTTCGAACCCACAGCCAGAGAACCAACTAAAATAATTTTTTTTTCAAGTGTAGGCGATGTTGGAGTTTCTCCGCGATATTGGAATTTCTCCCTCTTTCTCCCTCGAGAGACAAAAAAGACAGTGGTCGATAAGAAAGGGTCCTGGAATGTGGAACGATAGATAATAGTTTTGGAGGAGGAACTTGCACCTCGCGTGACTCGCAATCCAGCCTTGTTACGATCACACAGAGTGCTGCAAGAACACGAACGCTTAGCGGCACACTCTGCAAGCTGGAACGCGAGCTATTGAGCAGGGCAGAGACACCGACACCACACGACCCTGGACATCGGTTTAGCCGACCTTCGAATGGCTGTGCGTCTTCCAGAGGACAGGTCCAACTAGTCATCGCCGCGTTACGATGCTCCATTGGTGGGCATGCCATCACCGAGATCTTCTTCTGCGACTGGGGATCATAGCCAAGAACTGGACAGACCCTGGTTACATCGGGTGGAACCAGAAGCTTCTTCAAAATAGCAAATGGCGCAAGGACGGCGATGGCGAGGACGCTGCCACCATTGGCGACCTGGATAACGATACGCTGCTCTGCACTTTCGATCACATTCCAGCAAGGAAGCTCCTCACCCGAGCAGCGCTTGTCTGCCGCGCTTGTGCCAATCTCATGTAAGTAAGAGTGGAGCTGAGCGAGAGCGTGGTCTTTCTTCTCTTAATATTTGAAAAACTTGTCTCGGTGGCTGGATGATCCGGTCTGGCTCAAACCAAGACACGCCTTCAAACTATACCTCACAACCCAAGCATCACAAGCATTGCTTTTATAATTTAAGGCGGTATGTATGGTTCTTGTCGCGCTCTTTTGCTTATACTCTTGTCCAGATCGCTCAAGAACGCACAAGAGACTGTCTTGAGCTTCATTCCTCATCTTCGCCACCTTTCGATTTTCACCGAGCGATGTGTCGAGTGCATTGCGTTCTCGTAAGCTTGTGGATATGACTAGTCACGCTTTAAAGCTTCTCCTTGGCTCTTACCACGCCTGCAGTGGCTTAACGTACCCAGGAGCAGTTCAGGGACTTCTTCGAACCTCACAGATCCTTGTGTTGTATCATCCCCTCCCTTGCCATGCTTCTTCTTCTTTTGTCAGCCATCAGCTATGCAGAGTCTAAACCTGCAAGCAGTCTGTGATTAGCATAGGCTCTTCTGAAACTTGAGGAATTGCTTGCTGATGCTCGATCAAGGCTCTCACAACGTACTCGGGACTAGACTACAGTGGATAACAAAGGAATCACTGATGCAACAAGCTTCAGGTTCTGAGTCCAAGTTAGTTGCACCAACTCAAGGATGTTCTGTTTTGTTTCATGGTTTTGAACACGGTTTTTCTTTATGAACAAGCATCAAACTGGAAGCCCTGGGTGGTGTCTTGAAGGATTAAGCTCCCCGAGGATTTGATCTTGCGAAGAAGAGAGAAACAACTACCCGAACCTCCAGCACTCTTGACATTTCCAAATGCCTTGCAACTCGAATCTCTTGGGCAGAACGCACCGGTGCTCTTGAAGAGGGTGCCTGGCTCAAATCAAACTAATGGGAAACATTAGTTTGAGCGAGCTGAGCACCATGCCCAGAATTTGCACGCGATTATACAAAACAAGAAACGATTCATTCAAAAATGCGAAAGTAACAAACACGTTAACAAGCTATTAATGTTTAATTTGGACGGGAACCTGTTGGCCGGATATCTGGCTAGAATAAAGAAATTTATTGGCAAGGTCACAGGTTCGAATCCACAGCCAGATACCCAATTAAACTTGACTTTTTTGAGTGTAGCCCGGGGTTTTGAGCGAGAATCATCTCTCTTTCTCCCTCCCTTCAAGAATTTGCCGGGCCCGTATGTGGACGGGTGGGTCTTTATGGAATTGGATGTGTCAGTGGCATCTTGGAGCTGGAGTGCTTGAGCAGCA